TATGACAATCAACTATACGTTACTTAAAATTTATTTATTAATTTGATATGAATGATACGATAACTTTTACTAAAATTAAAAAATTTTTGAGGTACATATCTTTTTGCACTGACCCATATCTACTAACTTAATTTTAAGGGAATTTACAAATAAGAGCCCAGAAAGTGAAAATAATTATAAATACGAAAAAATAATTACTGATTTTTAAAAAATATTACATAACTTATATATTAGGGCCCAAATCTATCGGTGGCTGAAAGAAACGCTTATAACAATAGCAAAATCGCGATTATAGGATTATCGATTGTTTTATTATAGACATTTAGAGTATATATACTGATTATTAGATAAAGGATAAATGAAGTGCTAGTTATAATCGTTTTCGCATTAAACTAGCAACAATTATTCATAAGACGAAGTTTCAACAGAGTAGCTCTCTAAAGCTGAACGGACATCTTCCATATTGGTAAATGACATGCCAATTCGTAACAATAAGCAATTTCATACAAAGTTATTAAATTTAAAAGGTTTTATTTTCTCATTTATAATTACTAATCTACAATCGATCGTTACATTTTATGCGATGTTTACGTTTCTTTATACTAATAACGATCAATATTTTGGCCTGTATTTGTAATTATTTTCATTTTCCGGGTCCCTATTTGTAAATTCCACAATATTTTTTATTATCCGGATTCATCATCCGTGAGCAAAAGTTGACATCCGGATATTCGTACCATTCTCGGATATCCGGATGTTTAACCAAAACTAAATTCGGTCAATTATTCACATTTTCAAATCCTGATTAGGATAATAAATCATGCCTTCTTAATAACTTGTGCGAGTGGGATGGGGGTGCATATCGATATCGACAAATGTTATCGTATCATTCATATCAAATTAATAAATAAATTTTAAGTAACGTATAGTTGATTGTCATACGATTAAGCAAAGCAGGTTTTAATGTGAGACTGGAAATATAAATCTGCAGAAAAAAATAATAAACGGTTTTAACATATTCTAAAAAATTCCAAAAATGGGTTTCGACATATTTTTTGAATATTCTCAGGAAAAAAGGAGTGATATCTATTTGGTATTAAATATGGGTTATTCTTTAATGAAAAAGGTTGAAAATTTTTTTTTCAAACCTAGAAGATGGATTCCGAATCAACGTTTTGTTGTGATCATTAGTGAGTCGTCGTATATTAAAGGATTGAGATTCGAAGTTGACGCTCGGTGAGTTTCTCATTGGGTGTTTGTTGAGTTATCATATATCTGAAGGTACGCCGCCACATCGGTATAAAACATCTGAGAGAGAATTGAAAACGCATCGTGGCTGACTGCTTTGACGTTGAACAACGCTCTTCTCTCTCTGTTCCTGAAAGATGATAGACGCTGTCAGGAATTAATGATTATTAATGGTGATAGGATTACGCTAATTACCGAAGGCACTTACCGTATAAAAAAACTGTTGAAGAAAGGTAAATTAATATTTATCATTATTATATGTAAATTTATTAAAGTTTGAATAGTTTAAATACGTAGTTAATTTATTCAGGTTCGGGCATCTGCATTTTACCAATCGTGAGGAGACCTGCGATTTCTTCCATGCTAAGAGCAATAAAAATATGGAGGGACCTCTTGGTTCTAAAGTCATATTCACTAAAGCAAAGTACTATAATACTTACCATAGAATATTCCCGGCGTGCATTCTTTAATTGTTAATAATGAGCGATGGAGAAATAGACATAATTTATATGCTCGGGGAGACCAAGGTCGTGATACAGTGCAAGAATTGGGGCCATCCATTAAGTTTGTTTTAAATATTGTCGGGATGATGCTGAAATTTAGGGTCTCTATTTAAAAATATAATTCTACTAAAGCCACCTATACTCTTTAATTATAAACCCTAACCCTAAAATTTCTCGGCCAGTGATTTGCCAACCCTGATTATATATATACGTACTATAAATAAAAAAAATTTCTTAAAATATGTATAAGTTTTATAATACAGCAAATGGATAGCTATTATATAAAAGTTTTTTGGAGTTATATACTGTAGCTTTTGAGATATGACAATTATAGGGTTTAACACCTACAGTACAATTTAGTAAACCCAAATCAAAAAATATATACTTTAAAAATTTATATATAACATTTTATTAATACTATAATTGTTCTACGGTTTTATCGTGTTCGGAACAATTATGAATGTTACCCATTCACTACATAAATGTTTGACAGTTCAGCAAAATGAAATTCCTTTTTGCTTACGACTTTACTAAGACTTGGTAATCAATATTAATTTTAATTACTGTATCGATATTACCGGGTGTTGAAAAGCAGTAACAGATTTGCTTAAATGAGATTATCCAATTTTACAATACAGCTTCTAGCTGCTATTTTGCAGGAATAAACGGTTGACTGTTGAGGGAGCAGGCCTCTCGGTGGGCACAAACCAAACCAATGCATAGCATTCATTGTGCCCAACCAATCAGAGTTACGAAAACGAGACAAACAGACTTCACCTCGGAAAAATAATAGTAGTTACTCATAGCTATTAAAGTTAGTAAAATAATAATTGCAACATTACTAGGAATTGCTTATAATTTGTGTAATATGATATGTAACGTTAGTATCAAAGACACCTTTATCGTACATTAATTAAATTGTCGACAAGTTTACGTTTACGTTTACAATTTAAATAATTTCGTATAACCAAAAGTAAAGAAATTTCTTTTACCGAGTTTATTATGTAAATAGAGCCAAATTTATATATATTTCGCATGTACGTACAAATTCTCTTGGTAAATAGTAATGTATCAAACTATTAATTAATATTTTTAGTTTAATTTTTCAAACATTAAATAGCTTCACATTATTACTGTATTAAAGATACGAGACAAAAATATTCGAAACAGGGGTACGCAGGAACAATTTTATCTAACAACGCCATTAATTAATACTAATGTTAACAAAAATTGCTTAAATAACCAAATAAAAGTGGCCAAGAAATTGGTTCTAAAGTGGAAGTGTTTGCTTATTATATTCTAATTTGGTTTTATTAGCTAAATTTTTCAGTTTCAAAGTCGAGGGTGTGTTGCTTTTAATCTATTGGCAATTAATTCTACTGCGCCACATAACTTCCAATTATATCTACTATGGATCTATGATTTAAACAAAATCTTTTGTTTGGATCCACATTGCTTAAAGATATTACCGGTTTATTTATATTTCATTCTCCTTGTTAGAAATTCATTGGGAGGATAATATTGAATTTAAAATTTAATAATTTAGTAAATTTTTCGTAATATTAACAAAAAATCATTTGTATTCTTCAATAAAATTACCTAATTTAAATTGAGATGAATTGTTATTGTATGAATTGTTAAAGAAAGAATTACATTGTTTTGAATTAAAGTTATGCAACTCCAGGTTTTTGAGCATAAATCAATTTTTTGTGCTTGCATTACAGCATTAAGATACCATGTGCATCGTTCACGCTTGTACATACGTACGTAACGTTTAAAAGTATCAGGTATGTGATGAAAACAAGTGGTACCGCATAGATATACGTCTGAACTGTACATTTTTTATCTTATTGTTCATTTTATTCGAAAGTTTACTAAACTTTGAAATAATATTTTGTTATTCCCTTTCTCGCCTCTTAAAATAGTATTCTTTAGTAAACCAAATTATTTCAACTTTCACTCGATTAATTCATTTTTACAACTTCCTATGTAATTTATTTTTACTATCTTTCTTTTTTCTCCTCGTGTACATATACCTTGTATTTTTGCTAGTTTCTAAATCTTTCATCAGCGAATAATCAGTATTCAGTGAATAATGAATTTTGATGCTGAGGATACCTGTTGTGTGGGCTGTCAGCACCTTATAGAAGAAGGAAACGTTATTGCTTTCGGTGAGGGCATATGGCATGTCGAGTGGTATGTTGTTTTTTTTTAAATCTATTTGTTAGATTGTTTAAAAACTTTTCCTTTTTTCTTTTTTCAAATTTCTTATCTATTTATTTGGCGTTTTTTTTGACTCGATCATTTAGTTTTCGATGCGCAAAATGTCTTAACCAGATAGAGCATGATTCCAATATTTTACTCCTCTCTGACGGAAATCCCATATGTCAAAACTGTTCATACAACTGTAATGTTTGCAAAAAACCTATATTGGATGAGGCAATTATGACGGGTTGGTAATTATGACTTTAAGTCTATTTTATTTTTTTATTAATTTATCTGTTAATTTATTATTATAGGTGATGAATCTTTTCATGTTGAATGCTTTCGTTGCCGTCAGTGTCGTTCCAAGATCGATGATTTAGTATTTGCGAAAACTAATCAGGTATTTGATAATTTTTTTATGAAATATATACGTGTATCGGATATTTTTTTTTTCATTTTATTTAAATCGGTATCACTTCTTGTCCAAATGATATTAAGAAAGACGCGATGAAATTATTGTATATTTTTATCAATTAAAAAAAAAAATATATATATACTTATAAAAATAATAATAATTAATCATGAAATCGCTTATCCATTGGCAATTTTTTCGTTCGCTCGAAAAAGGGAATATATTGCATGAAGTGTCATAGCGATAGGGTCAATAAAGCAAAGCAAGTTAAAGAGACGAAAGAGAAGACAAACATAATCTTACCTCAATCCCTTCTGGACAAATCTTTACCGTCTTTACCAGCTGAAGCGGTAAGTTATTAAATCATTATTTTATAATTATATTATGAATTTGTTGGTTAATTGATTTTTATATATATATATATATAATAGAATAATAAACTTAGTCCTCCAACTCGTACCATACATCCAAAACGATCTTTTGAACGTGACGCGACTAAACAATCAATATTACCAAGAAATTCTTTGGAGTCTGTTGATAATATACAAAAATCTCATTCTCTTGAAGATACTGGAAATCGTCGTCATTCTCGGCTATTTGATAACCAGCTTGCTTCTAAGGTGTTGGATCAATTTACCGGAAAGCCTAATGGTCATCAAAAATCGCGTGAGGATTTACCAAAAAAACATGGGGGTATTTTTTCAAAGAAGAATGATTCAATAGATAATTTATCGAGAATGTTACCATCAAAAAATCGTGGTGAAACAAATGAAAAACATTCTAGAAATGCTTCTAATGCTTCTATCACAAGCTCGCGGAGTGAACCTTATGATGGTTCGGGTCATACCTTTTCGCTTAATAGTAATCATAGTGATAAAATGGAACTTTGGTCAAGAGGTATGCATCGAAAAGTTGGTTCCTCATCTTCCATAAAGAAAAGAACTCTTCAAAATCAACAACAATTGCCTTATATTGACGAACAACAATCAAATTCTCAGCCTAACGAATATCCTTCTTATTCGTCTTACTATCCGTCACGTTCGAATTCTCCTTCAACCCCTTCTTCAAATTCACCCACGAGTCCTGATTTTCCTTCATCTACTAATAATGACGTAACTCCCCGTAAAGGAGCTTATGATAGTGGCCCGCCCGTTTTACCTCCTTTACCTTTTTCTGATAGAATATCTTCTTTTTCTGATAAAATTTCCTTTTCTGATAAAAGTGATGATGGAAATACTGATGATACAAAATTTGAACGTAGTATATTAACTGGTGACTTTTCGGATGAAAAAAGTTTTAAATCACAAAATGGTTCTGTAAAGACTGAATCTATTGGTGATAATTCTCCTGGTGAATCCCCTATGTCACCTGAGAGGAAAGATAGTTTATCATCTTTAACCTCTGCATCTAGTAAGGAAAATGAAATTATTATTATTGAGCCTGAAGATGCTCCAGCTGAAGAATTGAAAAGGCAATTGATTGAAGCAAAAAAGAAATTGGTAGAGTCAGAAAGCAATTTTCGAAAGATCAAAGTATTTTATTTTATTTTATTTTATTTTTATTTTTTATTTTTTTTTGACAGGAGAGAATAATTATGTTAATTTTTAAATATTATAATTCTCATTCATATTAGAGAGTCAGTCAGAAAGCATTCGATGAATTTAGAATGGCTAAAGAAGATTTTGATAATGAAGTTGCTTTACGGCGTAAGGCCGAAGAGGCAGTTGAGAGTTTGCGTGCTGAACTTGAGCTTCAACATAAAACGTTAGAAGCTGCGCGATTGGATAGAGAACATTTTGAAAAACTTCTCAATGATGCCAAATTTTCAACGGGACAATTACAATCATTGCAAAGTGAACTGAAAGAATTAAATCTACAAAAGGAGATTATCATTAATGAATTAGAAGTATTGGCTAAAGAAAAGCAAGCCGGTCTTGCTGAGTAAGTTCAAATTACATGACGTTTTTATTTCCATTTAAAATGAATTAATACATTTCTCTAATAAGTTATTTTAAAATTTAATAGGAACACATCAGTCGTATCAAATCATAATCTTACTGGTGGTTCTTTTGCAAAACATTTATCAACGCAGTTTGACTTGGTAAAACAAAATTACCTTTCTGATATTAAATCACTTCAATCAGAAAAAGATTCATTATTGCAAGAAACAGAAGAACTTCGAAGTAAACGAGATCAACATATTGAGGAGGTGAAACATTTAAATGCAAAGAACATGGAACTTGCTGAAATGAACAATGAACTAACACGACAGATTGAAATGCATAGTAAAGGAAAAGTTGCAAATAAAATTTTCAAAATTAATAAATCATCTGGTGGTTATGATGCTGTTAAGCAATCACCTTATAATGACCCTGAATGTACTGACGCCACTCCAATCGTCTCCGTACGGAATGTTGACCATCGTAATAGTGTAGCACAACCAAGAATGTTTAAATGGATAGCTAAAAAAGGAAAAAAATTTCTAGCAAGCACAAATATTAGTTTGCCTGTGTATAATAATGATAATAGAGAAGATGCCAAACAGAAAATGATAGATCAGATGCTTCGTAATCAAGACAATGCAAATTATCAGGGGATGCCTATAGTAAATGAATATGAAAATAGTATGTTTGGTCTTGATCTTACGAAGCAGGCTGAATTGGATGGAGATGAAGTACCGTATATAGTTTTGAAGTGTATATTAGCTGTTGAGCTTCGAGGTAAATTTTATTAACATTTGTATCCGACAATTTATAAATTGGATTATTAAACGTTTTTATTTCAACAGGAATGGATCTTGAAGGAATTTACCGGAAAGCCGGTGCTGCTACACAAGTTCGAGAAATTATAACCTCCTTTGATCAAGGAAAAGATCTTGATTTAGAAACCCCCCATCAATTCAATGATATCAGTGCGGTAACTAGCGTACTTAAACAATATTTACGCGAATTACCAGATCCTTTATTAACGTATGAATTATATCCGAGCTTTTTGGAGGCAATTGGTAAGTAGATGAATGAAATTCTTGTTAAATATCTTTGTTTCAGATTAATTCATTATTTCTTCTAATATTTTAAAAAGCTCTGGAAGATGGTGAAGAAAAACTTGAAATATTCCGACAACTTACACAAAAAATGCCAAAAGTTCACTATTCTACTACAAGGCATCTCATGTTACATTTAGACAGGTGAGACCCTTTTTTTTTATTCGCGATTAATAAATAAAAAATCTAATCCTTTTTTGTAAATTATAGAGTCAGACAACAAGGTGCTGATAACCGTATGACAGCTAAAAATCTAGCTGTTGTATTTGGGCCTACTTTACTTCGTGGTCCAAATCCTAATAGCGAACTTCTTGACATGGCTTCCAAAAATAGGATAATTGAATATATAATTGAGAATGTCAATACACTTTTTCCAGCTGCAAGTAATCACGTTGAAAGAAGGAAAGATGGATTTATATGATAATTGGTATTATTTAATATGTAAAGCATAAAAGTTCAAAGGCAATCAATCATTTTTTTTTTAAATTAATTATAGATAAAATTTTTATTTATATTGTAATAATGTTTATTATATTTTGAAAATGGTATATACAAAGCTACTATAAAATTTTTATGTACCTATTGCTAATAGATTTAGCTGTATAAATAAGTGTTGGGTTTAAAAAAGGTACATGCTTATTTTATTATTGTACATGTTTATACAACATACATCGCATTAAACTGCTATCATATGTAAATTACATATTTGTATCGTCAATAATAATTATAATAAAAAAAATAATAATAGATCTTTTGATTTACCATAATTTCTTAATTATTATTCATGACACCCTGCAATGTGTAAACGATAAAGCTCTAAATTCCTGCACATGTGATATCGTTAATTCACAAGGGGGGAAAATATTACCTAATCTCTGCACTTTAATTACATAATGCAACAAGTACATTATTTAACCGCCGGTTTTGTCTTTAAGCACCGAACAAATGATTAGCCCCAAGTCTGGATGAACTTCAGAATAGGTGGGCATATTTAATTAATACAAAAAATAAAAATAAAAATAAAAATATATAATATATATATATATATAAACTAATTAAACTAGTTTAAATTATCTATATATAATTTACACTTGCTCACCCATACTAAAGTTCATTCAATAATTTGTATTCTCTGAAACGTAATTTACAACGTACGTACGTACTGTACGTACGTGTACAATAGAAAGTACACATTTCTGTAACATGAAAATTGAACGACGCCAAAGTTTAGCATTTAATGCTATACGTATATATAAATAGAATTATAAAATTAAAACTATCAAATACATAAAAAAATGCATAGAATAAATATTAGGTTATGTCGATATCCGAATGGCGTAATAAAAAAAGATTTACTAAATTGATAAAAAAAAAAATTATTTCTTTGTTCAAGTGATATACATGTAACAAAAAAGAAACTGTACGTATATATATAGTTTTATGCGTGCAAATGTTCTTTAATATATAGGAAATTATTATTTTCAAGATACGTATAAAGATATATTTAATTGTTCAATAAAGAATCTTTGATCATTGCTATATATACCGATACTAAATAATAAAGTATATATATACTTGGATTATGAATTTTTTATAACTCAGATATTCGGGTGTTCCACAAAGTAATGTTGTCACAGGGTGGTTTTGAAAGAGAGTTTAGATAATTTAATAATAGCAAAAAATTATAGTCCGGAACGAATTAGAAGAGTTAAATTTTCTGATCATTATCCATCTGTGATAAGCATCAAAGACGCTAAAAATTATAGATCTACATATAATTTTAGAAAAATATTTAGGAGTTTGGTTATATAGTGATATATTTTCTTCATAACATAAAATTGAAAAAGAGATTTAGCACTTGATTTTTAATAAGTTCAGCGAAGTCTGATCTAGCCAGATTTTGATAACAAATTAAATACACATTTTTTAATTGGTTATGAATTATATTGTCTACTGTATTAACATTATTAATTTAATTGGTTGCGTTTATACGTACTGTGCGTATGATTTAAAACTTTAAAAATTTTAAAACAATTTACTATAATAAAATTTGAAACAATAATTCAAAATTGTGTAATATATATTATAATTTTTTATAATTAAATTTTGAATTGATTACATTAAAGACTTTATTAAAACGCACCTACGGTATGGTGTTTTATAACTATGTATGTATTATCTCAAAAACTGGCTAATTAATCAATACAAGATGTCTCTCCCTAACCCTAAATACTAACACTAACAAAAAAATTTTGAGTGGAAAATTGTTATATTCAAAATTTAGACAAAGTTAAAAAACAACATATAATAGGTAAAAAACCACCACCATAGGTGCGTTTTATAATAAACAAAATTGAATAAATATTTAAAATTATACAGTATTAAACAAAATAAATAATTTTTTAAAAACATTTAAACTGTGTCTAGTGCATTTTGTACTTCTATAGCAAAATTGAGCCTACAATAAAAATTAGAGTTGGGTTAGGGTTATATTAGGGTTAGAGTTTAAGGTTATAGTAGTATAAAATTGCAAAAAAAATGGGTTGAGTTACCTTAGTAAAATTTTGAGATAATAGTGATTTTATAATAGTAAGTACAAAGTATATAGAGCACTGACTAATTTAGCTTTTTATAATAAAATTTTAGAATTAGCTAATAATATTAAAATTAAATTACAAATTTTGCAAGATATAATTAATTATAATTTAATTTAAAAATAAAAAAGTTAAATATAATAAATTTTTTTTTTAGAAAAAATATAAAACACTTCCTGATGATTACTTGAACCAAATTTTTCAATAAACAAAAATCAAAAATTTTGCTAAATATAGATGAAGAAGCAGTATAAAATAATAGTTTTTATGAAAGTTAACCAAGAGCTTTAGCTATTTTAGCTTTTTGGAAACTCATATATATATTTAGTATGCAAGCCAAAAGCATTAGTATACAAGATAACTGCAAGAAAATTATAGCAAAAGTTTATTTTGATTGGTTGTTAAAATACTCCAGAAAAAATATCAACCACATTTCAGATAAATTACTGGCTATATCCAGATAAAGTTTATTACTTATAAATTTTTAATACTTTCTAAAGATGCTTTTATGTTAATTCAGTTTAATAATAAAGGTTTAATTTAAATTTAATGAAGTAATATTTATTTTACAGTAAGTATATTATTTTACAAAAAATACTTTAATTCAGCTTCACAATATATTACGCATATTCAAACAATTCTTAACACTACTACTATTACAACAGGACCCCAGATATCTAGGATATAGGTCATATATGAACTTTTTAGCAAAATCTCCATAAATTTAAAGAGAAAAAAACACATATTTGTAAATATCTTAGCAACCAGCAGTCTAATTTGGATCAACTTTTTTTAAAATGAAAGCTCTCAGTAAGATGCTTCTTTTTAAAAAAAATTCATTCAATTCTAATCACTAGATTTGGGGATATTTAAGAAAATGTGAAATTTTAGTTTTTAACAAATTAGGCCAAATTGGCTAAAATCCAAATATGATCTATATTAAAGATGTTTGGGGTTCTATTGCAACTTTTTGTATCTATAAACTTATAAACTATATTTGTAACTTAAATAAATATATTAAAAAGTTTTAGAACACAATAGTAATTTATAATAGTAATTTTTTTTTTATTTGTAAAGTAAACAAGTCTAGTTAAGACAAAATCTTACAATTTTACTTACTATTGTAACTTTGTTAAAAGAATATTCAAAATGAAGAGGTGTTTTATTAGATAGTTTTTAGAACATAATAGTGGATTATGTCTCTTCAAAAGGATATTTTATATCTTTTTTATAATTACACTTTTTGTTTTAAAACTATTTACTGGTCCCAGTTATATAAAACAATTTTATACATAATGATTTATACATAATGATCATATGCATAACAAATTATGCATAACAATTATGTATAATAAAATAAATAGATAGCATAAAGTTTGTAAATAAATAAATAAAAAGAAAAATCTATACTAGTAGCTATGATATGAAGGGTTCAGCCATATCATATGACTATATAGAACATTGAACTTGAAATATTACTATATTTGTTTAAATCACCAAACCATCTTCTTGACTTTTTAAAGTATTCATTTCTCATCTAATTGCTTGAACTTCTGTATCTTACTATATCTCTTATTAAAAAAACAATAAATTTAAAGGTGAAAATAGATTGCTAAAGTTTGTTGTTTTGTTATATATAACAAAAAAAATTTTTATATATATAAAGATTTTTACTAATAAAAGTATTTTAAAAATTACAATTGACTATATAAATAAATAAATATTCTCCCCTTAATATTTGGCAGTTGTCGGTCACTATTTATTTTTGCGTAATGTTTTATAGTAAAAATAAATTAGTGTCATCTTAGGCCGCCACCTTCCCTGCTTACCCACCCTTTAAAAAATTCTACAAAAATCTTCGTCTACCTACCCTTGAAAATTTGGAGCATTTCATGGAATCTCAATTAGATCAGAGATTTAAAACTCCGATCAAGTAGCGAGGTCATGTGATTTTGCTCTTTCGTGTTCCTGCGAAATTGGCAAAATTCAAACTCCACCTAATCAGATTTTGAATTTTAATTAGCAAAGTCATGTGACTTTTGTACTTTAAAAGTCCCACGAAATTGAATTAGTAATACGAACTCAAGGTCACGTGACCCATGCACTAAAAAAATATAAAATAGAAATCAGAGAATTTCTAATTTTACCTGGGGGAAATTACCCGGAGGTGCTATATCTCAAAAACATACTAAGTAAACTGGATCAGGTTCTCTAAGTAAAAATGTTCAGGACCTTCAAAAATCTTATAAAAACTGAGATCAGGCCCTATTGGGCCCTTATAGTAGCTCCATATTATTTTATATAAAAAAATAATAATTTTCTAATTTCTAACCATAACTCTAAAAATAATTAGAGGAGGAGATTTCTTCCTGGGTAAACGCAGTTATTTTTAATAAAAAAATAAAAAATATATAAAAAAATAAATTAAAAAAAAACAAAAAAAAATTAAAAATTTTAAATAAACTAATTTGGGTTTATTTGAACCCAAGTTGGGTCCAAATGAACTCAAGACGGGTTCATTTAAACCCAAGACAGGTTCATTTAAACCCGAATCGAGTTTATTTAAACCCAAGACAGGTTCATTTGAACCTGAATCGGGTCGAATCAGGTTCATATTGAACCCAAGACGAGTTCATTTGAACTTGAATCGGGTTCATTTGAACCCAAGACGGGTTCATTTGAACCTGAATCAGATTCATTTGAACTTGAATCAGGTTCATTTGAACCTAAGACGGGTTCATTTGAACCTGAATCAGGTTCATTTGAACCTGAGTCAGGTTAATTTGAACCCAAGACAGGTTCATTTGAACCAAAGACGGGTTCATTT